ATCCATTCAAATGTAATTGTCTGATAGTTAATATTTGTCTTGGCTTTAATAATTGCATTTTAAAAGGTTTAGTGCTTTTTTGTTTTGCTTTGTCATATTAATCAAAATCTTAGAATTTATTCATCATGTTTTACTGAGAAGAAACTGATGAATTGAGGGATTGGGTCTACTGATGAAATTTTGGGATTTCTTGTATCAAAAAAGGCAATAAGACTTTTTTTTTGTTCAGACTGAAGGTTGAAGATCATCTAGAAAATCTGTGTGTTCATAATAGCGTATCTTGCTAATTGATTAATGCAGTTTTTGTGTATATGCTGGAACCAAGCTTTGAAATCTGAGCATAATACCAAAGGTGTTAATGGGAAGAGAAAATGAGTGAGAGCTATCTTGAGATAGCTGATACTCCAGTAACTTGAAGTAGCTAATGCTCCTGTCAGCTGCTGCATAAAAGCAACCCATAGAGATAATGTGGTCAAACACTTAGGTGGAATTCAAAATCTTACTTTTTTCATTCTCCATTATCTCTTTGTTAAACTTAGACCTGATTATGTAACAACACTGAAATAGTGGAGTATGATTTAATACAGCTGACCATCTGCTTATGTTGTATGTCTGAGGCTGACCAGCTTGTAGGACTAGAACTTCGGGTTCAACTTCCACTCAAATGCCTCTGTATGAGATACTGGCTCAGTGCTACTGTGTCTGAAGCTTATTTGCTCTATAATGTGATCAAACTTTACAAACAGGACAGTTAAGAAATAACTTTATGGAGACAACATAAGAAAAAGAGACATACAGAAGGCATTAAGAGAAGACAGAATAACAAAGGTCTTACTAGCTGTTGAAAGAAAGTTTTGGTGCAAGGAAGTTGAATTAAGCTGTGGAAAGCAGAAGAAAAATGGCAGAATTACATATTTTAAGGTAAGAAAATGGGGAAAAGGTAGGAAGAAGGAAGAAAGAAAAGGGAAAAGATAAGACTGTTTTAATACCCTTTTTGACAGTTATTTTTTTCTTAAAGAACATATTCCATCAATAACTTGTTTTGCCAAATATTTTATTTAACAGTTGAATGCAGAATTTACAGCACTATCAGTATCTTAAGCTCTGCTTTCTGATCATCTTGAGAAAAAAATAGCTTTCCATCTTTACCTGTCACATACAGGCTGTCAGTTGAACATCGTTATGGGTGGTAGGAAGATTCTGCGTTGTCTATAGATAGACAAAGAACTCAAAACTATTGAGAAATTGTTTCAGTGAGTCATTACTCATCAAAAGATCCCAAATAATAAGCTGTGTGAATATTCCTGGCATACTCCACTTTCAAAGTAAAACACCGTAACCGTGATGGAAGTAGGTTCTGTAGGTCTCCCATTATGTCTCCAGACTAACAGTGCCACTGTTTCACTTCTACTTGTCATGGGCTGTATTCATATTCACATTTATTCCACTGTAAGGACTCTATGTCCATGCATCGCTTACTCGTGCCATTCTAGATTTTCTCTCTCTTCAAACACTTACGTATTCTCCCGAGCTTTCTTCCTCTCCTTCTTTAGGAGTTGCTCTCATGTCAGAGGTGCAAATGTCCTCCCCATTTATCTTCACTCCACCCAGATTAGTGCCCTGTGTGGAAAGATCTCTGTCATTTCCTTCCAATTCTAGGAATTTAGTCTTTGTTGCCCCCCCCTTTTTTTAAAAAAAAAGATATCTGATGTGAAATAAGTGAGTGTAGTTCTTCTGGGTAGTAAAGCAGAAATGAGAATTCCTTACGCTGGGAGGTGTTAAAAAATGCCGTTTTCTTGTTATTTGACCTGTAACAATTCTGCTCCGTAATTGTTCCATTTCCCCTCCATTTTCTTTCCCCTGGATTTCCAGTTTCCCCCAAATCCATGTACTTTTGCCTATTTATGCGTAGAACACTTGGATAAATAAAGCAAAGCAAATGTAACCTCTCAAGTGTGGAATCTGTTCAAGAGGTGTGCATGTATGCATAAGGCCTTATGCCCATACTGTCTCTTCAAGCACAATGTCTTCTGGTTGCCTTTTAAAGAGTACCACCCAGAAAACCACTCAGTCTTTCTCTGAAGACTTTGGAAGTTTGATGTTTTTAGCCCTTTTACGTTTAACCCATTTTCCATAGAAGTGTGTTCCAGTAAGTTGCTGTGAATACTATTGCATTTATGCCTTTCTGCTTGAGTTTTTTTGCTTAAGCCTGTGGCAATTTGTCCTTGATTTATGTTTGTTATGCCAAAAAAAGCCTATTCGGTATTTTCTTCTCATGAAGATTGTTCTACCCAGTAGATAAACAAAATAGTTTGTCAAGAACGTGTCTTGTGTTGTAAATAATTTTCTCCATCTTGCTTGAGTATGTGGTGTTTCTGACTTTTCTCTATTTTTTTACATTTTTATATATATTATTTTAATATTTTTGTCAACATTATGTTCTAAAAAGATGGAAAAATCACCATCCAGTGTTTACTGTATTTCTCCTAGTACATCAAAAAACTGCCTTAGCATTTTCCCCATCTGCCACACCATGACTATGTGTTCAGTTTCTGCTTTGTTATAAAACCCAAATCATTCTGGATTCATGACTTTCCAAGATACATCTTTCTGGTTTTCTGAACTTGGCACAAACTTCTTATTCAGTGCTAAAATGTGGTTTGTTTGAATGAGCCTGATCCATCAAGCAAATACATCCCTTTTTCATATTATTATTATCATCACAATCATCTTTGTGTGATCTGCACATTTTGTTTGCCTTGACAATAACTGAAAAATTAAACAGCTCAATTTGATACCTTATTTTATACAATTTATTTTACATCCTTTCTTAATAAATAGTTCTTGTCAGTCTTTCATTCTTTCCAAGTTGTTTCATATATTGTCCTTGTACAACATCATTCTATTTCTGTTATTTTTTAGTTTCATTGAACAGAATCAGTCCATTTCTTTGTTAGATCTTTGAGTATTTTTTTTAATTTCATACCACTTGCCTGTTATTATGTCTAGATAAATTTTTAATGAGGAATATCCTAATACTGCAGCTGACTTTCTCTTA